ATACAAGAAGGGCCACACAAAAATATTTTTTAGATTTGTATAATTCTGACTTTCATCTCAGAATTATACAAGAAGGGCCACACAAAAATATTTTTCAGATTTGTATAATTCTGACTTTCATCTCAGAATTCTGAGTTGTAGGTCAGAATTCTGACATGCAAGTCCGAATTCTGAGATACAAGTCAGAATTCTGACTCACAAGTGAGAATTCTGAGATGAAAGTCATAATTATACAAATCGAAAAAATATTTCTGTGTGTCCCTTCTTGTATAATTTTCACTTTCATCTCAGAATTCTGAGTTGCAAGTCAGAATTCTGACTTGAATCTCAGAATTCTGACTTGCAAGTCTGAATTCTGACTTGTATCTCAGAATTCTGACTTGCAAGTCTTAATTCTGACTTGTATCTCAGAATTCTGGCTTACAAGTCAGAATTCTGACTTGCAACTGAGAATTCTGAGATGAAAGTCAGAATTATAAAAATCGAAAAAAAAAAAGTTTGTGTGGCCCTTCAACGCTTTCGTACGATTTAGTATTACCGTGTGGGTAGAAATTGACAAAGATAGAATTTTGGTTCTTCATTTATTTGACGAAATTCTGAATGGAGAAACCTATCACCAGTTCAGTTTTTAATGTCGAATTTCGAAGACAATTTGTGTGCTCCACCGCACACTAACAGACGCGTATCTAATTACCTGACTGAAAGGTTTGGTGATAAATGGATAAGGAATAATGGGCCGGTGAGGTTGCCAGCAAGGTCTCCAGACTTAGGTGTTTTGGATAATTCCTTTGGAGTACACTAAAAAATAGAGTTTATGGTCAGAGGGATTATCAAAATATTGAGGACCTTCAACACAGCATTGTTAGAGAGTTCGGAAGATTGAGGAGGAGGGAAATTAATCGTGCAGTGAATATTATTCGAAGAAGGGCACATTTGTGTTATCATGAACAAGGCCAGCATTCTCAGCATTTGCTGTGATTTACTTTTGTCTTTACATTTCAGTTGATTATTGTTATTTGTTCAAAGTTCTATTTTTATTGAAAAGGACACAATGTCTAATTCACCTCATCTATCAAATTCTGATTGTTGATTATGTCTCCGTATGCAGAGCAGACCCAATTCAGATCCAGGCCCAAGTACATCCATCCAGACGGTGGATCAACCAACACCAAGTCTCTTCACTGACTGTGAAACTATACGGAATTCGCAAAACGAGCGAAACAGTGAGCCTTTTTCGACATCTGAAGAGCATATTGAAAAACGTAGAATGGTAAATGGTAAAGAAAACAGGGTCAAAAGTCAAAAAAACAACTGCTATGGTCATCACTCCGGACACCCTGAGAGAGATGGCCAGTCCTAATTTTTTTATAAGTTTGAAATGACGTTATTGCATTTGTCAAAGTGATTTATCGTTGATATTTGATAAGAATTAAAAGTAGAGTTCAATTTTTTGTATTAATTAATGTTTTATTCATTAAAATTCCTTCACAGTAGAGTTTTTAAGTTACTACGGCCATCTCCACAGGAATTATCCTATAGTTAGAAGAGTTGACAATAATCAAGAAAGGTAAAACATTTTTGAAAGTATCTATCGTTCTAGTATATGATCAATTTACATAGGTAAGTTCACAATGTGAGTATAGTCTATCCATTCCCAATTGGAACGGCAATAAAAATAAGAGTACAGTCATAAACATTTCTTGTTTGTGGCCCCTAGTCGCCCAGATAGATAGTAAACGTGCTATCAAATATAGTTGAGGAATAAAGGCTCGGCTAGCTGGATTGGCTGAATACTAATTTTTTGTCCGTTTCACAATATTTCTTTATCAGTGCCGTGTGTTCGTGGGGTTGAGTGAGGTAGTGAGTGGTTTTGCAAACCGATTTTTGAAAACTTTTTCTAGAGATCAATTACCCTAACACCAAACTGATATTTTTGCACTCGACGCGCGTTTCGCTAACAAGGTTAGCATCTTCAGGAGAAGCAAATTGATACTGAATCTAAAGACAAGGGTTAGCTGTTTATATA